ACATGACTCCATGATGTGTTGGAGAGCAGGAAAGATCCTGGCGTTAACATAGAACACAATGTTGCTGTGTGTGTGGAGGGGAATCCCCTGAATATCAAATGTGATGGGGTCCTTTGGCCAATGTTTGTAAGACATTCCTGCTATATATGGAAAAGACAGCTGGAACACTGGCTTGGATTGTTTTCTCAGAGGCACACAGGCAGTTTGCAGAATGCAAGAACTAAGGGTCAGAATCTCCAACATCTAACCCGTTTACTGGGAGCAAACAATGACTAACTGTATATTTATCTCCTGACTTTGGCTTCTGGGTGTTTAAATCTGTATATAGACCAGCACCTCCAAGATCTATGCTCGTGTCCTTTAAGTTGCGCACTTCTGTATTATATCGTAACTTGTATTGTCCCTATCAATGAAAATGGAGTCAGATTGATTTTTTAAAAATAATTAGTACTTGTGTGAAATTTTTCATGATTGGACTTGAAAGCTTCCCTTCTGGCACTTCCTATAATCTCTCTGCAACCAGCCTGAAGTGTGGGGAAGGAGGGTTGAGGAGAGGAGGGCAATGGGTATATTTCCCCCCACCCAAAAAACTAAGTAATACTTTCAGTTCTGTCCTGCCACCAGCCTTCTCAGGCTGGAGAAATGGAGCCCCAATACGTGGTACTGAACTCAATGCATAGGTTTTCAAGTCCAATTCACTCTTTCTCCCTCCTCCCCAAATGGGCCACTCAAAATAAGTTGGAGGCAAGGCCTAGCACACCCCACAGTGGAGTCATCTGGCTTGTCCCGGTATACTTTGCCCTTCTCTTCTGCCCTGTGGGCTTGCTGTATGCAGTGGCTGGGGAAAGGAGCTCGCAAGCTAAGCAGCAATCACTAACTCTCTCTTACATGAATGAGGCTAGAAGCTCTTTAAAAGAACAGCCTCAGACTGGACTGAAAGCGCCTGGGGATACGCTGGTAGCCTGGGAGCAGGGGGGAGGGTTGAGTCTCCATTACAAATTGGTGGGGGGCGGGGAGAGGGAGGACCTCCCCAGTGCCCCAGGAGCTGCCAGTTGCAGCCAGGAGAGGAATGCCCAGGGAAGGAGGCAATGGTGTGGGATGTGAAAGTGGAGAAGTGAATAAAGTAGAGTAGCCTGCCAAGGGGAGAAGAAAAGCAGGCCCTGGAGAAAAAAGAAAAGGAGTACTTGTGGCACCTTAGAGACTAACCAATTTATTTGAGCATGAGCTTTCGTGAGTAGCTCACGAAAGCTCATGCTCAAATAAATTGGTTAGTCTCTAAGGTGCCACAAGTACTCCTTTTCTTTTTGCGAATACAGACTAACACGGCTGTTCCTCTGAGGCCCTGGAGAATCACTGGCCATGGGGGAAGTATCTGGAGGGACAGAAGAACAGCGGGGGGGGGGGGGGGGATGGAAACACAGAGCAAAAAGAAACGGGTTCAAAGCCTATAAATTTGTTAGTCTCTAAGGTGCCACAAATACTCCTTTTCTTTTTGCGGCTACAGATTAACAGGGCTGCTACTCTGAAATCTCCCTAGAAACACATACTGCTTACTAAAGAGCTTAAACAGGAAACACTCCGGCTAACTTTCTTCCAGGCAGGCCTGCGTTTGCCACGGTGCGCCCCCTGGCGGCGTTGGGAGGTAGATTTCTCTCCAAACTCAGAAACAACTGAAGACTTTGATTAGGTTTTACGGGGGGAAGAGAGGAATCACCTGGCTATTGGGTAGAGACAGCCAGGGAAAAACTACGCTCTGGGGAGAAATAGGTGGGGAAGCTGAGTCTTGTCTGCAAGGAGTCTGATGACAACGCCGAGTGTTATGCAGTGTTGTAGCCTTGTTGGTCCCAGGATATTAGAGAGACAAGGTGGGCGAGGTCATAGCTTCTATTGCCCCAACTTCTGCTGGCGGGAGAGACAAATGTTGGAGCTACACTGAGCGCTGCTTCAGGGCTGGTTTCGAAGCTGCTGTGGCAGTCTTGCCGTGTGTAATACTGCAAGCCCTTTCTGTGCTTAAAACACACCAGTTTGCCTGTGCTGATTCTTTATTGAACTAGATGACCGTACCTACCTTAAATGTGTGTCTAGGAGAGAGAGAGAGAAAGCAATGGGGGGGGGGGGGGAAGGTGGCTCTGGCTGGCCTAAGTGTGGATATAACTGATGTTTCTAAAATTCCTAGCGGAAGTTCTCCCTTTCCCCTGTGCTACCCGACCTCCTCATCCCCACCCCTCCTACGATGTAAGTGGGAGGGCGTGGGTCTAGGAGCGGTATGTTTCTTGGGGGGCGCTGTAGCTCCCTGCCGGGCAGTGGTGGCTGGGCGTTGCACGCTGGAGACAGTCTGTTGGAAGAAACGCGGCTACTGGGCGATGCACGTGGTATTCTGTCGTCTGGGGTGTTTTAAGAATAAGTAACAGCGAGAAGAGGCCTGACTCCCGCTGCCCGAGATACTGACTCTGCGAGGCAGCTCTACCTTGTAGGTCTCTTATTGCCACACGTCCTATGCTGGCATTCGCCCGCCCGAGGGAGATAACGGTTCCCCAGGCAAGACGCAAACACCTCAAACAATAGACCGGGCTCTGTATTCCAGCAACAACTCTGGGCCTGGAAATACCCTTCAGCTGCCCCCGGCAATGCCCAGCGTGGCTCTGGGCTAGCAAGCTAGGGCTGCAGCGTCGCACCGGCCGGGATGGGTTTCCTTAACTCGATGGTGCAGAGCTCGGGGAAGGGCAGGTTCTTCGAGTCGGGGGCTCTTGCCTTCCTTACAGGAGGTGCTGGTATTCCGGGCAAACCGCGCTGCGGGGCATGGGCGTCTCCGCCAGCGTTTACACATGTGATGCCCCATCCAGCGCGCTGTGTCACAGCTGGGCAGGGACCCTGGCTGGGAAGGGCTGGGTGGGGCGTGAGGCGCTGCAGGGAGCGGGGAAGGGTGAGCTGGTCTCCCTTGGGGCCGCTGGCTAGAAACCCCGAGGTACAGCGTCTGCGGCCACAAGCCCCAGGGCTCGGGCGCTGGAGGAACAGGCAGGTCAAGTCTCTGTCCCGCTGTCTCCACCGCCTGCCCTGGGCTGGCCAGTCTTGGTGCGTCCCGCTCCGGTTCCGAGGCGCACAAGGCGCGGACTGCTTAGCCAATGCATGGACGAGGGGCCCTGGCGAGCAGCGCCAACTGGGAACGGGGCGCAATGGTCTGGGTCCCCCTTGATTGCCCCGCCAGCCCGCGGCGGAGGTTACTCACGCCGGGGGCCTCTGCTGGAGAAGCCGAGGGGGGCTGGAGAGTTCAGGGCCGGGGGTGCGGCTGGCAAGGGCGCCTAGGGGCCAGGCCGTGCAGCCCCCTTCCCTTGGCTCCTTCCTGCCCAGCTGCTTCCAAGCGGCCCTGTAGCCCCGCGGTGCGCCCGGGCCCGGCAGCGTCGGAGCCAGGGCCAGACTGGCGCCGCCTGTTTGCCGGCTCTGCTCCGTGCGCTCTGCTCTCGTGCGCTCTGCTCCAGATGCCTCGCCCCAGGGCAGCTGCCCTGCGCCCCATGACCTCCTCCACCCCATGCCCCTTGGAGCCCTGGTCAGGGTCAGCAGCAGGAGACGGGGTAGCCCCCTTTGGCAGCTCCCACTGCAGTGTCCGCCTGCTTGTGGGACAGCTGGGGGCAGCCTCTGCTCTGAGCTCCCTCTGCGGCCAACTTCTCTTCCATCGCTCCCGCGGGGGCCTCGGCTAGCTGCGGCGGAGCCCTTCCCCGCTCAGTGCATCTGTGAACGGGAAGGGCAGGGCTCCAGCCCCGGAGGCCAGAGCGTGAGCCCCTGCGCCCCTAAGGATCCAGATTGCTGCTTGTGGGCCATCACTGAAGCATTGGGGAGGGGAAGCCGGACCTTGTGTGTATGGATGGGGTCGGGGAGATGCAGTTGGCGTCGGTATCAGGGACTAAGTCCAGGCTGGTCCCTACTCGGCCTTTTCTCTAGCCCGTGCTCTGTCCTTACTGAGGGTGTACGCTTCCCCGCCCTTCCTCGGCAGCTGAGCTTCGTTGCACTCGCTGGAAAGGGCCCGGCGATGACCTAGGAGCGTTGCCAAAGGGCTGGGGTCACTCGCACACTCAACCCGGACGGGAATAGCGATCTCTGGGCTGGTTCCTGCTGGAAGAGGCTGGGGAGATCAGCAACAAGCTGGCCATGCTGAATCGCTAGGGGAGCTCACGCCGCCTTCTTCCTCTGAGGGCTGTGCAAGGGGCTGGGAGAGGGGCTGCTGCTCCCGGGTCAGAGGCAGGCTTTGCTAGGCATCCACCAGGGCTGCTCAATCTCGGGGCCAGGAGGCTGCTCTCGGGGAGTTAATAGATCCCAAAAGCCAAGCGGTGAGCCAGCTCTGGAGAGTGAATCTCTGGGGCGGAGGAAACTAGGCGGGATTTGTGCCTGTCTTCACAGAAGAGCACTTGGGGCAGATCTAACTTGCCTGGAACGTTTCGGCCTTTGCACGGGGGTAGATCTTGTTCCAGCCACGTTGTGCAGGTGGTTTTCCTCCTTCCCTCGCAGATGGAGGAGCGAAGGTAGCTCTAGTCCTGGCTCAGCCCTCCAATGAGGCCTTGAAGTTCAGAGGATTCCCTGTCACCCCCACCGCATCTCTCCCAGTAAAAGTGACCCCCATCAGCCAGTCCCCTCTCAGGCACAATATGGAGAGGCTGTGATTGTGCGCCTGTGGGATTTGACTTCTTCCTTGTTTTAATTTTGCGTGTGTTCCCAAAGAACTTGGAATTAAATCGCAGAGCATCAGGGCTTTGCTGAGGTCCCCCCCCCCCGCCATTTAGTTTATACTAGGTTTCCTATAGCAGGTGCAAGATGAACATGCAAAGCCTGCTGTGAGTTCTCACGGTGCCTGAGAAAATACAGATTTTCTACCTATCCGGTGCTACAACATGTATTGGGATTATGTTTTCTTCAGGCAGGGGAAGGGCGCTCCCGAGGTCTATCAACTCTCTCACTGAGGATTAAAGACACAATCCAGATCCTTTGTGATGGTTAGATTGATCAGAAACTTTTCTGTAATATTTCCTGTTTGGATTTTTTTAATGTCATGTACTGTTTTGTTAGCAGCAAACTGGCAACAATCGATTTTTGTGGACAATATTTGATCTTAAATTACATTTTAACAGCAAGCAGTAGTCATATTTTGTTTATACTTCCTACTCCATATATCCCCTTAAATCACCCAACTGTCTGCCATTTCTACTTAATTAAAAACAATACATTTTAATTAACATACCTGGCAATATTCTCTGTTCTGTATGTGAGATACGAACCAGAGGCCCTCCCATAAATGTGCTTCACCTCTAAGCTACCTCTAGACTGGTATAAACCTTATAGACTCCAAGATTTCGATTATCTGAGAACTTGGAAAAGTTGTGTCAGGTAGGATGAAATAATTTTTTCCAGTATCCGGTCTCCTACACTAAAACTGAACGAATTAAGCAGATAAAAATATAAAACTTGCACTAAAGAGAAATGATGTCCATTTTCATCTTAAATTAATTTGTAAGATGTTTTCAGGAGCATCTCTATCCTCTGTCCATCTGAGAATCAAGTTCTTCCTATTTCTAGTGCTGGGATTAAAGAAAAAAAGAAATTCACAACTGTAAAATACCTGCACATTAATATATATCTATATAACTATACACACAAAAAATATATTTTGTTAGTGTCATTAAATTGGTAAAAACATCCCCCAACCTCAGTCCAATGAACATTCCTTCAGTCAAACCCTATAGCAACAAATAAAATCATCCCGATGATACAAGGGCAGCAGCATTTAATTTATGTCTTAATTCATGGTGAGGAGGAAACATTTAATTCATTGACAAGCTGTCTGCGGTTTAAACCAAAAGCAGCAAATGCTAAACAGCAGACAAGCCCAGACTCGAAACCTGTGTTTTCAGTAACAATATTATTATTATTATTATTTTATTATTAATTATGACAATAAGTTTTAATGTAACAAGCTCGAACCATCTCAAAGAGGGAATGTTAACACGATAGATTTGAAAAATAAGATTGGAATTAAACAGTTCTACACAGTGCAGCTCTTACTCCTGGTCGCACATACAGTTCAGCTCCAAAATGAGTCACTAAGTGTCGCTGTTGTCCACAGCAGCTCTGCCAGTTCCACTCAACGCGAAATAGGTTTCAACTGGGCTTTAGCGTCAAATGCAGCCCTCGCTCACACTCTTTAAAAAAACAACACAAAAATAATCGTCACATTATCCAGATATTTACTTCTATTTGCGACACACACATTTAACAAACTCTGTAATATTTCTTCACGTTTTATTTTTTTTATCAGGGCTTGATGTTTTAATTTTCCAATAGCATCAGACTCTCATCGGAGACCGATTTAAAGTATAAAAGGGAAACAAATGAATTTTGTGTCATAAACATCCTAGCAGTGACAAAGTCTCCTATATTTGACACGTGTTTGTGTATGTAATATAGATATAAATATTTTCCACCATGTCTCACACCCGGTATATAAATCTCTAGTGGGTATTGTGTATGATACAAACACAAAGATGTCGTGTGTAATGTTTTTCACGTTTAGTTCTATATCTGTAGACTGGTGTAATACATTTTATATAAGAAGTGGAGCGTGAACTTGATAGATTAGTTAAACAAACAAAAAAGACGTTTTTCTTCTTCAGCACTTTTAGCATAGTCCCAAAGTGTGTCAAATTCTCAGCTCTACAGTTACATAAAACAACTTTTTTTATCGTTGGCTGGTTTCTTTTATTTTCTTTTTAATAATGTGGTCTTTGTTTTGATATTCCCGGAAATTGAAATTTACATAATTATTTTTTTCTTTTCTGATATTTTTACATGCAGGGGGGGTCAATGTATTCTTCCCCCCTCCATTTTGTTCGTTAATGGAAATTATCGTGCGTTGAAAGAAAGGGAGACAGATTTATTTGTTCATTGCAAAATCCATCTGAACATTGCAAAACGTGAGCCATTCTACTTGGCGGAGTTTGTCCATTAAAAATAACGCATTCCTTATACAATATCAATGCGCACGATTTTGGATTAAACTGTTGTCTTTAATTTACCACAGAGCATATTACAGTACCATTGAATGTTTTTAAAAAAAACTGTCTCGAGCACAACTCAGTTCGAAAATCAAAACTGGGCTTTTTGTCAAGTCAAAATTAAAGCCATTCTAATGCCAGCCCTTCCAGAACATCACATTCAGTGTTACACCGGGAACGAAAAAAAAACCCCACAACGGTTTATTCCCCAAATTAAATGCCCCTTTGAAATCTAAACATATTTTTAAAGGAAGGGGGGATTCATCGGGTCTGTGCCTCTCCACAGCAGCTGCCGTTTGAAGCCATAACCCCTAGTGCTGTCAACAACTGTCCAAGCTCTTCCTTTTCTCCCCTCTTTTTGGAAGAAGTAAACAAGCATGTTACCTTAACATGATCGCAATAAACAAGCCAGACAATGGGGACACGGGGACTTTGCTTAACCTCGCATGTCCTTCTTCATTGAGATAGACCAGACCCGCATTGTTAGCATCCTGCTTCAGAGGGAAAGGAACAAAATCTAAAGGTCAGGGGTCAAGGACTTTCCCATTCTTCTTTCGTTTATTTCTCTGCCCTTTTCACTCAGGGGATCATAAAGAGGTCGCCTGGTGGCACAGAAGGGCTCCCGTGGATTCCTTTACTTGAAATAAGGGTGCCTGTGAGCAAATACATCCGATCTCTCGCTGGATCCGAAGCTAGATACCCAGAGCTGGACAGAGCCACACGCAGCTTGCACCCCGCTCTATAACAGCATGGTAACATTATGCATTTTCTCTGTGTATACATGTGCTCGAATATCACCATGCCTACTGCACGTCAAAGGGCAACTGATCATGCCACGGAGCCTTTTGATTTCAAAACAAAGGAGGAAGGCTGAGGAAGGCCCCCGTGCTATTATAAAGGGTGGGCAAGGTTTGAATTTCAACTTGTCTCCTTCTAGTATACTTGTAAGGGTAAGCAAAAATACCCACATGTATTGAATGGGTTAGCGATAGAAAACGGAATCTGTCTAGGAGAGAATTACCTGTAAAATGGATGGGGGGGGGGGGGACATTTTAAAATGTACTTTTCCTGGGGCTGATGGCACCACATAATGGGAATCTTTTTGTTGGTTTATCGGGTTGTTTTATTTATCCCGCAGGCGGCTGTGTAGTATCCAACATACCATTTTGAAAGAAAATATTGTAGGGATCCCTTCAATGTGGACTGTAAGATATGAATACACCGAGCAAATCCTTTATTAAATAAGCACCATACGGGCATTTGCAAAATGGATGGACTGGTGGGTAATATAGTTACACCCTGAACGGCTAGATATATTAACCGCGGGCATGCAGATTAACGGGTGTGTAACTAGACAGCCGTAGGGGGAGAACCTGGTAACACAGTGTGTGTGTCACACACCCGGGAAAGAGAGACGTGTTGTAGAAAGATTCTCCGCACGGCCTAAACTCTGACCAGGGCCATAGAAATGTCTGTGTCCTCCCCAGCTCTCCTTTGCTTACCAGGCTAAGGAAATGACACTGCAGCGAGCCTGCTGCTGCCCAGCGAAAGAGAATAAACGCCAGGCAAGAAGAGGCTTTCCAGGGCCGGCGCCTGGAGAATATTCGCCGCCTCTGCAGGGGAAAGTGCCCTGGGAATCGGAGCTCAGGGAGGGAAGCGGCAGCGCCCGGGAAAGTCAGAACGGGGTGAGCAGGTGCCTGGGTGTCCAGGGGACGCGGGGCCGAGCAGCGTCCTGAGCCGTGCCTCTCACTGGAGGGCCGAGAAACTGAAAAATGCCGCATCGGACAACGGGGGGTTGGACGCGAGGGATTCCCCGTTTGTCGCCCAGCTGCCCGGGCGTTTGTGGCTCCGCCGCTAGCAGAGAGAGTGTGGATCCCTTAGCCCCAGCAACCCGCCGTGCTCCCGTCGCAGCGCTGGGCAGAGTCCTGAGCCCGGGCTGGTCCATCGCTTAGCAGGGCTGATGGCCGGGCACGCTCCCACAACTCCCTGGCTGAAGGGACAGCAGCTTGTTTGGAAACAAACCCTGGAGGAGGCAATTCCGCCTGGCGATCGGTCTTTCTAGGTTCTGCAAATGCTGCTTGTCCGGGTACATCCGCGTCCCCTTCCCCTTTCCATCTCCCGCGAACTGGCACCGGTTCCCAGCCGAGTCCAGAGCCACAGGCCGGGCTGTTAGTAACAGGGTGGGATTTTCAGGTAGTCCCCTGGATCTCACCACAGAGCGCCCATAGAATTCAGCCCGGCTACCAGTTTTCGTCCTCTCCCCCCGGCCCTGTCCCATCTCTGCCTTTCATTCAGTGTGCCTCAGAAAAGAACCACTAGGCTCGGGGAAAGTTTCCTAGGCGAGAGAGAGCCCGCACGCCAGGCACCCAGCTCGCTCTGCCCGGGCTGCCAATGGCTCTCTCCTGCGTGCGGTTCGCCCCCATCTTCCTCTCTTTCCAAGAGCAAACTTTAAACCAGGTGGGCACCGCAGCCATTCGCTTCTCCCCCCGCCTTTTAAAAATAATTTCACACGCTCCCCCCCCCCCGCCCGCCTGTCTCTCCCCATCACAGGAGGAGCCAAGGGGAAGAGTTTATAGAATTTCTTTTCTTTCTTTCTCTCCCTTTTTTTCAGGGGCAGAGGCATAGGAGAGCTGGAGCTGCCAACGTATTTTATAGGTGACGTATGGGCCTACGTGGGAAGCCTGTGCCCAAGTGCCACATCTTATAGGCTTTTTCTCCTGAAATGACATCTCCCTGAAGTTCTCAGCTCCCCCCCCTTCAGTCTGAAAAAGCAGCCCCCTTCTTCTGCTCAGGAGACAAGCCCCAGAGCTCCAGAAGTGGAGAGAGAGCGGGAGGGGAGGAAGCTCAGACTAGATGTGTGTGTGTGGGGGGACCCTCGACCCTCCCTTTTGGGGCTCAGGGCTAGCCGAGGAAGCCAGACGGCGAGGCGAGAGGCTGGACAGCAGGTGGACTCCCCAAGGTAAGTCACCCCTCACATTTGGATGCGTTTTTTAAAGCGGAGGCGGCAGCTATGAATGACCTCGGCTAATGCCCTGCAAACTCGGTGCCTTCTGTGAGACCGTGTGCACGGCTCTTTAACTGAGTTGGATTAAAAGGGAAGGAGGGAGGGGAAATGCCCAACAGCCCCACTGGTTCCTCCGCGTCCTGAAATTAAGTACCGCAGCCCCCCTAGAACCCCTCCTTCCGCGGCAGGTCCTGGGTTTAGGATGGGTTTGTTTGCCAGCTAAAAACAAGCAAACAAACAAAAAACCCAGAAGCGCGTGCGTGTGTTTAAAGTCTTTTAAGGCTGCTGATTGTCTTTCCCCTGGTGATGAAGTTCGGGTTATCCCCGCTCTCCTTTTACAAAGGCGCTCACACTCTGCAGACACCTTTGTCCATGTTTGTTTTGGTCCGGGATCTGTTTCTCCTGGTGCACTGGAAATCGAAGCTCTGCGGGCGCGTGTATATATAATCTATGTTACATATGCCGTGGGTAGTAACTGTTCATTCCCTCCAGAAAGAACTGGGATACGCAGCAAATAAGCCCTGCTCCCCAGCCTAGCACTAATTTCGGTGTGTGCCTGCCTAAATTCATTCAAGCTTGGCTTGGCAATAAGCTCTCTCAATAGGGGGACAATAGAGCCCCAGTGTGACCTGAACAAAGAATTTGAAAGTAGTTAAATTGCAGGACACGTCCGCTGCCTGGGTGCTTGAATTTTTTTTTTAAAAGGAGAAAAGGAAAGGAGGGAGACTTTTCTTTGGGCTGGTGAGAAAATGCTCAGGGTAAAAGTTGGTTTGGCGTCTTCATTTCAGCGGCAATGGAGCAGAGCTAATTCAATAGGAAACGGGGGGATTTTTTAATGAAAAGACCGCCAGGGTTACAACAAAGTTAAGCTCTTGTGAATTAATTATTAGGGCAAATAAACTTTGAAGGGGGGGCGGCTTTAGCATAAAGGGGTGCGATTTATTGTTATTTTAATGTTTAATGACAATGCAATGCGATTTCGACCTAGACCAAGCAAAAGGGATTTCTGGAAATTCCAGGAAAGATGTATGGATAAATAATCGAACAACTGATTTAGAATAAAATACTGTCAAATCCAGAGAGGTTTGATTTCTATTCGCCACGTCTTTTGCCTGATTTCTTATGGCAACTTTCAGATGCAAAAATCTAAAAGCAATCAGGGTGAGGAGTTATGTTGCTTTAGATAGCCTGTTTATTTAATATGATATCAAACAAAATAATACAGCGTATGGTATCTCCACGGGGTTTAAAATAATTGTTTCAAGGCTAGGAAAGAGCTCGGAGGCAACACAAATAGGGAATGGGAAACTGGGCTGGAAAGATTTTTAAATAAAAATCAAAGCAATCTGTAATGCAGGAAATCTAGAGAAAGAAGGCAAGAAAATGCAGAGAGGGAAAGGTTTTTAAAGGATAGCGGGTTTTTAAAAAAAAGAAGGTTGCATGACAAAATTAAAGGAGGGAGAGAATGAAAGAAAGAGAAATAGGAGAGAAGGAAGAGAAGAAAAGGAAAAGAGGAGGGAGAAAGGGAAATGAAGAGGGAAACAGCGAAGGAGAAATTAAAGCTCCTTTTTCTATGCCCCAAGAATAAAAAGCTAGTGGAAGCCTGGACATTTCTAATTATACGTGTCTGCCATTGGATGGCAGGGAAGCGGACTGCAATGGGTTAACTTGATTGCTCATGAACTTGGCCTGTCTGTCTGTCTGGATTTTGATGGATGGGTAGACCCCGCTGACAAGTTCAGCCGGCGGGACCTCCCCTGCTGCTCCAGCGGACTGGAAAGCCAGGAAAGCGGCTCAGAGCTGCAGCCCTGCGCTCTGACACCCAGCACCCACTTTTGCTCTCTGCATGCTGCCGAATGGGAAAGCGGCGCCCTTACCCCCCCCCCAAAGTTCCCCATCCCTGCGCTTTATGCAGCCCTGAAAGTCCCGCCGATCCGCCTGCTGTTGAGGAAGGCTGGGACTATAATAGCCTCATGCTACAGCCACTGTGCGTCGGGCCATTGCAGAGCTTCCAGGCTGGCCCGAGAGCTTTGTACTTTGTTAATCTGAGTTAATTTTCAGCATTTGGACAGCGGATAGGAAAGCGAACCGGGGGAGCCGCAACATTTCCAGGGAAGAAATGACATTGACCCAGGGAAATTGTCTTGTGTTGTCACAAAGGAGTAGAATTAGTGGCAATGTTCTGAAGGGGGGAATTAACAAAACACCCCAATCGGCTGGAAGGGGCAGGGGAGAAGCGGCGATCTGGTTGACTGGGGAAGGCGATGTTGCAGTTGGGGTGATTAGAATTTCTTGCTCCTAAACGCAGAGAGAGGAGCATTGTTTTCTCACTGCCTATGGCAGGGGGGTGAGGTAGAGAGGGAGGCGGGTGTCTTGCTATCTCGCCCATCTCCCTCTCGGTATTTTCTGTGTGATGTGGCTGACGATATTACTGTGAACATGCAGAGAGGCACATGTACAATGGGATGTAAATACCCTCCAGGAGCTATAGATATTGGGATCCTAATAATATTATTAGGATTGAAATGCAGAATCAAATGCAAACCCTATACAATAAGCTATTCCGAGAGGCATTTATGACCCAAGCCTGGTCATGAGATATGCTGAAATCTAGGAGAAATGCAATCGCAATCCAAACCCCAGTTAGCTCGGGTGGGTTTGGGGCTGGCATGCACTCCCCTAACCCCACCCCTCCGACTCCCCACCCCAAGAAAACTAGAGCGAAGCATTTACCTTCCCAGAAATCAAATCTCTGCCTTTCAGTTTAGCGGCTAACCAGGGAGGTTTGAGGGGTTCACTGGAGAGCTGGACTTTTAAAAGGCTTCCCGAGCAGCCTATCAGATTAAGAATTGCCAGGGTTTAATTGGAACGCCTTCGGAGCCTTAATTAAAGGGTAAGATCAGGGGGCTGAGCTTCCCGTTTGGTGGAGACTGCAGGCGCCCCCCCCTCCAGCCTTTCTTCTCCCCCCCCCCAGCTTCCCTCCTCCCCTCTGCCATGGTTGGAGTGAGTAAAACGCTGCTGGGCTGACGTCACTGCGGGCTCAGCCTGCCAGCAGCGGAGGCTCGTGGAGAGGAACCAGAGCCTGGAGCTAAGAGAAGCTGGGAAGACGCACGGAGCCCAGCCAGGGCTCCTTCCTCTCTTGCCCGCGCCTCGCCGCCAGAGAGGTCCGGGGTAGAGGCCGAGCCCCGGCAGGAGGAGCCGCTAGCGGGGATCAGCGCCCGCCTGGCTGGGGATTGCCACGGCCTCCGCCTCGCTCGCCTTCCCAGGGATCGCTGCCGCCTGCTTCCTTCCTTCCCTCCCCTTCGTCCACGCCTGGCCGCGGAGTGTAAGTGTGCGCTCGCCTCTGGCCGCTGCCTCTCCGCCTCCCCGGCGCGGCTGGCGTGGGGTCGCTCCTCGGAGGAGGAAGGGAGACTTACTTTGGGGGCAGCAGGGGGGCAGCGTGAGGGGATTTGGTACAATGACCCCCCCCGGCTTCCAGTGGGGCTGGCTTGA